TTTTTTGGGGATGTTGTGATAAGATGTTTCAAAGATATTTAAATTTCCTAAAAAATGAAGGAAGTTTCATAGAAATCAAAGCACTATTAACAGAAATATTGCGATTTTTTATATTTTTGGTTGATATTTTCAATAATCAACCATTGTGATGTGATCGACTAAAAAAATTCAAAAACTTAAACCCCTCTCAAAATTTGAGGTTTCACGTTTCAGGATGCGTAGAATTCAAAAAACGAATACAAATTTTTTTGTCCGTCTGTGCATTTTCTCCGAAACTACTGGACCGATTTTTTTTCAAATTTTGATAAAAAATCAGAGTTCACTCGAGGATGATCCTCTTTCATCGACATTTTTTTTCATCACTTTCCGTGACCTTCTACAACTTTCTATACTGGATATTGTTTTTTCTAAAATTCTCCGCTTTCCAACAATATATTATACGTATACCTTCTGACTAGTATTTCCGGAGATTTATTTTCAACCTGAATAAGCATTTTTAGTTTTTTCTCCTTTACTCAATTATCAAATGCTTTCAAAAGTTAAATTTAGCATTTTTTTCATAACTCTAAATAATGAGAGATAGTTAATTATTTAAAAGAAACCATATTAAAAGTACTTTAGAGGAAGATATATATGAATATTGGGCATTTAAGCCCTCTAAAGTTACATCAATGGGGATAAGACCTAAATGATATTAAAGACTACTTAATTATACAATGATACACCGAGTTTAATCAAAATCATTACAGCCATTTTTGAGAAAATTGTAAAAATGTGTTTCACCGTTGATATAAAGTGGCACTTCTGGTTAGCCGATTTTAATGAAAAAGTTGCTGTCACATCTAAGGCATATACCTATCTAAAATACATAATATCAGTTTTTTAAGACTTCATTTTTAAGCTACAGTGCTCACATACACATAGACCAATTTTTGGCGCTTGATTATTTGGACTCAGGGTACATCAGAACGTGTATTTCTATTGAAAACTCAGATACGAAAATTTTCGTAATTGCAATACTTTCCCTTACTATATATTACACATATAGGTAGAGTGTTCACATTCACACAGACCATTTTTCGGGAATTGGTTGTTTGAACTCAGGGTACCTCAAAACGTCTATTTCCATTCAAAACTCAGATTAGAAAATTTTCACGATTGCAATACTTTTCCTTACTATATATTACATGTATGGGTAAATGAAAGTAAAAATTGGAGACGTCTATAGTGGTCTTTTGGCTATAGGAGAAATCGGAGAAGTGATGTGCAAATGATAACATGCATTCACTATTTTTAATGGAAATTTTCTAAAATTAAACATAATTTCATTTTGTAAGTATATCTTGATCTAAAAATTTGTTAAATTAAGCATTAAAAAAAATATATATATTTATATTTTTTGTGGCTCTTCATCAATTTCACTATTTGTCAATTATGAGAGATAAGTCGAACACTTTATTATTATATAACTATTATTATTTTACAAAGTATAGATTGTTACGAAGTAGGATTGTAATGTAAGGGGTATAATTTATTTTTTTCTAGATTCATTTCAGTAGTGTTGGACCAGTCATAAATAAAACAATCCTACATAAATTGTTTTTCAGATCTGAGGATATAACTTTATTAAATTATCTCATGTAACTTTGAATCCCAGACAATTTACCTTCTGAAAGCCTGTTGTTGAGATATTTTCATAAAAAATCTGAGTATGACTCACCATTTAACTGGTCAGGTAGCTCAAATAGAACAATCAGTTCGCCAATGAAGACCTGTTTCACAACTTGCTGAGATGCTAAATTGTTCTTGGAAATAAGAAACAACTACCAGGTATAGATTCTCAATGTTCCACGAAAGACAGTAATGAATGTGGACAATGTCACATCATCATTAAAAAAAAATTAAGTTTTGATATATATATATATATACATATAAAATATATAGGAACTGGGGTAGCTGTGCGGGCTAAGGTGCTTGCCATAGGTCAGTGTTAGGTGTTATTTAAATAAATTATTTGAAATTTTATCTAGATAACGAATAATAGATAAATTTTTATTCGTTATTTCTTATTCGACCACATTTGGACAGATAATTATTCGTTATTTGTTATTTACAAATAATATGCGTTATCTGTTATCTATTATTTGATATTTAAGATGAAAATCCGATTCGAATAATCTTTTTTGCAATTTTAGAATTTCTTTGATATTTAGGTTTGTTTATATGTTTTAGGGGGCCCTTTTTATGAAAATACTGTCGGATTTGAGATAGCGCACCCTCCCTCCCCCAAACCGACTTTTTGTAACTTTTCAGATTTAATTGATATGAGGGTCGATTAATATGTTTTGGGGGGCCCTTTATATGAAAATACTGTCGGATTTGAAATAGCGGCCCCCTCCCCGAACCGACGTTTTGTAACTTTTCATATTCAATTGATATGAGGGTCGACTAATATGTTTTGGGGGGCCCTTTTTATGAAAATACTGTCGGATTTGAAATAGCACTCCCCTGAACCAATTTTTTGTAACTTTTCAGATTTAATTGATATGAGGGTCGACTAATATGTTTTGGGGGGCCCTTTTTATGAAAATACTGTCGGATTTGAAATAGCGCCCCCTCTCCCCTCCCACAACGACTTTTTATAACTTTTTGGATTTAATTCATATAAGGGTAGACTATTGAGTTTTGAAGTATGGTTTTTTGAAAATACTTTCGGAAAGCTGCTGGGCATCGACTTTTTGTAACTCTTCGGATATTAAATTTAAATAGAAAGCGCCATGTAAAACATAACAGTTGACCCTCATATCAATTAAATCCCGAAAGTTACAAAAAGTCGAAGCGTGGGATGGCGCAATCTAAAATCCAATATTATTTTCATAAAAAGCCCCTCCCCCAAAAAACATAATATTCGACCCTCATATCGATTTAACCAAACAAGTTACAAAAAGTTGGTTTAGGGTGGGGGAAGAGGGGGGAGTTGCTATCTCAAATCCGACAGTATTTTCATAAAAAGGGCCCCCGAAAACATATTAGTCGACGCTCATATCAATTTTTTTTAAATGTCAACATTAATTTCTTTATTGAGTATTATAACAATCTGTCTGTTCGACATTGGTTATAGTGAGGTAGGATGACATTCACACCATATTTATATCAATTAAATCTGAAAAGTTACAAAATTTGGTTCGGGGAGGGGGGAGGGGGACGCTATCTCAAATCCGACAGTATTTTCATAAAAAGGGTCCCCGAAAACATATTAGTCGACCCTCATATCAATTAAATCTGAAAAGTTACTAAAAGTCGGTTCGGGAGCTATCTCAAATCCGACAGTATTTTCATAAAAAAAAAAAAAAAAAAAAAATACCCCGAAAACATATTAGTCGGCCCTCATATCAACTAAATCTGAAAAGTTACAAAAAGTCGATTCGGAGGGGACGCTATTTGAAATCCGACAGTATTTTCATAAAAAGGGCCCCCCAAAAGATATGAGTTGACCCTCATATCAATTAAATCTGAAAAGTTACAGAAAGTTGGTTCGGTGGGAGGGGAGGGGCGCTGTATCATATCCGACAGTATTTTCATAAAAATCACCTCCAAAACCCTGAGATGGAAGAAATCCTAAAAACTCAAAAAAGTCGCAATGCAGTGGCATAATCTTAAAATGGAGATAATATTTAAAAACTATGGATCTGAAAATATACACATTGGCCCGTATATAGAAGAAAAATAAAATTAGCGTCAAATTACTTGGAAAAAGTCGAATAACAAATAAAAAGATAACAGATAGGTTGAATTTATTTATTATCTCGATAAAAGATAACCACAATTATTCGTTATTTGTAGTTGAAAAGTTCGAATAAATTATTCGTTATCTATTATCTTTTATTTAAGATAAATTTGCCCAACACTGCCATAGGTAACCAAGTTAAGCAACGCTGAACGTGATTAGCACTTGGATGGGTGACCGCCCGATTTAGGTACCCGTCCACCAGGGAAAGCCATGCTGCCTCAGACTCTCCCTCCGGGTTTGTAGCCCGTCAGCCTACTGAAGGTAACTCACTCCGGGCATAGGACTGATGACCCTACCTCGTGTACTTAAATCAGGAATCGGGATGTGGTCTATAAGATCACAACATCTCATGGTCAAAGATCTACAAGGTCTATATATAAATAATATATGTTATTATTTTTTAATAGGATTTAAATGATTTTAGGGCATATTATATTTTTCCTCTATCTTAAAAATTGAGCGAGGTATGGGCCTATAAATCTTTTAATCTGCCGGAATTTAAGAAGAAAATGACAGATTATAATGTTAAGTTATAAGAATCATTTAAGTACGAATTGTGATGATGATGCCAAATCTAAAAAGAATTGACCTAGTGGTTTATGGATAAAATTCATGGATATCAGCGAATAAAACCTCTAATTTATAATTACAATGAGTTTGTATGCACATTAATTAACCTTGGTGAATTGTGCACTTACTGTGTTTTAAAGCAAAACACTTAAAGATTCGCTTTATTTTAAAATATACCATACCACATAAGAGCAGTCTGGTTAATTTAATGAACAAATATATTTCTTAACGGTTGACTGTGATTATGATATGAGAAGGAGTGGTTGGGGGTGCGGTCAAATAAAAACTATAAACTAGAATATTATTTTGCTAATTACGCCATAACATAGAATAATATTAATGAAATAATATTCTAGTTTATAGTTTATGGTTCTACTCTATTTATTTGAGTACACTTCCGACCAACTCTTTCTCAAATATATTTCTTATTAATTAAGATAATTAAAATTTTCTTTAAAATCAAACAATACAATACGCATTATTATGTTGGATTCCTTTAGTTCTACTGTATTATTAAATAAATAAAAAAATAACAAGTTTTCATTACAACTATTTCAAATCAGCTATATGTTTTAATAAATTATGAGATTGGGCAACGGGCAATCTCAAAAATGATTCTAAAAATATTATTTTTCCATACCTTCTTCATGACAGATGATACAAGAATTAGTTTTTGTTGGTTTTTCATCCTCATCATCATCTACAGGAGGCGATTCAACAATAACAGCATTGCTATTAGCCACAGGAACAGGAGGTTTACGAGGAGTATAAGTTCGTTTTGGCTGAGGTTGAAAATAATCGGAATAAAGACTACTTTGTCCAGCAACACTCCTCCTTTTTCTTTCACATCGTTTCCTTTTAAGGACTTCACACTTTTCTTTGCTAACCAAACCTGAAAAATAAACCCCTATATAGTAAATAGAAACACAAAATAGAGTTGCAGTAGGCAATGGCAGATCTAGGAATTTTCTCAGGGGCATGCACCTCTGTACCAGGTGCTTCCACCACCCATAGCCCTTATTCCATCACTACCCATCTCTCCCTACCCCTTTACTGAGTTTAGCCTTGCAAAAGTCCTCTTTAAATGTTTTTAATAAAAGCAAACTCTATTTTTATTTAAAGTAAATTTTGTCTAGTTTACAGTGAAGCACTCGTTAATTACTTAAATCAAATCTTTTTTTTTTTTTTTATCACTTCATATTCAACAAAAAATGTGACTTACATAACAAATCACAAAAGTTTAATTTCCTACTTTTTTGCTGAAAATCGAACCATTGTTTATAACTTTTTTGTATTTATTGAGTTCTGCTATCACTCCTTTAAATATTTCTCTCTACTTAAGACACCGTGTGTATGGGTTTAGACATGTAAAAATCTAAATTGCTAACATGGGTCATTAAGAGAAAACTTTTTACTGCCAAAAAATTCAGAATTATCTGATATTTTTTATGTACTACTACTAAACAATCCATGAAAGCAAAAAATGTATTCATTCAGAAATTAAACAACATCAAATTTTGTCTCAAACGAGTACCTAAACTTAATAATCTGATTAAGTGTTATGGTCGATAAACACAGTCAATGAACGCTAATTTTTACCGACATTGTCAAAATCTGAGAAAGATTACTATAAATGGCCCTGCAGCTTTAAAAAGAGTTCTCTAAGAAAAAAAACAGAATAATTTCCGATTTTGATCATAATCAGATTCCGATAAAATCTGAGACTAAATAATTAGTACCTTCCTTCATGAAAACGTTTCCAACAGCAGCCATTTCAAGAAAAGAACAACACTTTCTGACGAGAAATATACAAATTATTATCGTGACCAGTTTTATGAATCACACGGATTCTTCAAGGAGACTATAGTTGCAGATCTATTGGAACTGAATAAAATCTGGGCCCAGGAGAAAATCCATATTTTCTTGTGCTTGAATAAAAGGTTGTTCGAAAGAATAAATAAAGTTCATTTTTTTTTTTTTTAATAAATTTTCCTCCATCATGTATTTCATAGGCGAGACTTATTTCGGAGTCCATAGAAACAAAATGCGACAAGCCTTCACATCTCACGGAGGCTCAGAAACAAATTTTCGGAATTGTTAGTCCATCAACCAGGGGGAGGATTGCCCCATGCAGAACTCACTAGTGCTGGTCACGATAGTAATTTTTTATATGTATATAAACAGAAAATTCATCTATGAGGATGAATTTACCCTAATTTTCTCTTTTCATTAAACAGCTGCTTAAAGCATTAGTTTTCAAGGGAACGTCCTTCGGAGGGTATTTGAACCAGTTAAGGAGAACGGTGAATGGAGAATTAGACGTAACCAAGAACTAGCTAACTTATACAAGGAGCCGAATGTGGTGAAATATATCCCAAGCAAGACTGAGATGGGGGGCCAAGTTGTACAGATGGACAAGACCTCAATCCCAAAGAAGCTGCTGAGCATGGAGACGGGTGGAAAAAGAAATTTTTTTATATTAAATTAGGAAATTTGTATATGAGAATGAATTTCCCCTACATTTCTCTTTTCTTTAAATAGCTGATTTTTGGAAATTTCTTTTCCAGCCACCAGGGGGGCACGCGCCCTCAGCATTCCCCGGCTGGATCCGCTAATGGCAGTAGGTAATACATAAAAGAACATATCACTCACATTACACAGCAAAAATTAAGAAATCAGAACCACATTATCTCAGATAAAAAATTTGTTATGCCATTAAACAGGAATATTCAACAGTAACATATAAAACATACTTCTATGTACCTTTTACTTCTTCCATTTTTGTTTTTATTCACATTGTATTCTTATCTATAATCTCTTAATTCTATTTTATATGTATATGTATATGTATATATTTATAATTAAATATTTCATAGATATAGTATTTTGCTTCCTCACTACCGAAGGTAGGGAAGCATTGTGTTCGTGCGAGAGATTAAAAAAATTTTTTTGCTCAGAATCGAAAATTTTCACTCGCGTTTTACGTTTCAGACATCAAGGATAAAATTTGGTTCGGTGTCTGTCTGTAGTCAAATCGATGTGACGGGCATATCACCTAGTACCGTTCATCCAATCTTCATGAAAAATTTCAGGGATTATGCTGATTGGTGCCATATCAATTTTATCAAATTCCATCCAGCACTTCCGCTTACGCACGTGCAAACGTATATTTTTAGATATGCCAATATTTCAGAAAGGGCTCGTTCGATTTGGCTCAAAGTTATATAAAAGGTAGACTTTGGTGAAAAAATAATGTAGTGTCAATTTCATTGAATTGTGTCCAACACTTTCTCTTATATGTGCACTACTAGTCCGCCGTCCGCGCATTTTTTCTGAAACTACTAGACCGATTTTTTTCGAATTTGGATATAAAATCAGAGGTCACCCGAGGATCACCCTCCTTTAACGACATTACTATTCGCCTTCTAGTTTCAAAATGGCGGCCGAAAAACCTGCGTTGCTATAGACTGTAGCGCCTAAACGAATGTACCGATTTTGATGAAACTTCGCTAAAGTCATTTTCTCTACACCCTCTAAATTTATCTATACTACATACTTCAACGAAAAGAAGCTCAGAAAAAGTTACGGGGGATGGTAAAATTAAATTCCGAATAACTCAAGAAGTATACAGATTTATGTCAATATTGTATTGGTTTTTTAGAAGTTTATAGAATTTCCTAAAAAAAAAAAAAATTCGTCAAAATCGGACAATTAGGAGCAAAGATATGGTCTCTAGTTTTTTTTAGATGTGCTATTGCAAAAGGTTTATCTTTTTTTTTTATTTCTGAATGTGTTACTGAAGTAATGCTATTTTTTTTAGCATATTACTAATGATTAAAAAAAATTTTAGTGCAATAATTAGAATCACCTTTTATTTATTTTTCTTTATAACTAGGAATTTAATGTTACTTTATATGTATAAGTGTTTGGAAATAATATACCAAAGAGAAATAATTTGCAGTGGTTTTTTTCAAATTAATTATCGTTATATATATATATAGTTTTGTTTACTTATTTATTTAATTTTCTTTTTTCTATTCTTTGACCTCATTCTTTTATGTCTATTATTTTCATTTTGTAGGGAATTTAGTAACTTTTTGTAATTTAGTAAATTTTGGGGCTTAAAATGCAGGGTATGCATGTTATTGTCTTGGTATATACATCAAAATCTTCAAAGCTCAATTTTTTCTGTATCGATCTACAGACTTATCACCGTTCCAGTATTGAAGCCTAGCAAAATGTTTATATCAACTTTATAATAATTTTATAAAATAATATACCAGGTGCATACATATGAAACCAGAATTTCCTAATAGAAAATACTCGTTTATTGCATAAAAAGGTTAAAAAATATTTTATTGTGTCACTAGCTACTCATTTTCCTAATCTCACAGACAATATAAAAGAATGCCATTCCAGAAAAACTGTTTTCATTAGTGGTGAATCTTTTTTTTTTTAAATATGCTGATTGCTTAATTTATTATCATGACAACATAAATGCAAATCAATTCGTATAATAGAGATATAAGTGAAAAAGACCGTTTCATAATCACTTTATGTAAAAAATATGTTAAAAACCATTATTTTTATCTCTTTTTTTATAAATAAAAAGTATATTTAGGAAATTATGTTTATCATAATACATTCCAGGTCGTGGAAAAACAAGAAATAAAAGCGTTGCCATAGTTTATTATAGTCATTTATGTTGAAAACACGAGTATTACGAGTAGCCAGAATATAAAATTGCATAATTTTTTTTTTACACATGAGGTGAATCTCAACTTTTCCCCTAATAAACCTCAGCTTAATTAATATGGACTTAAAGCTTATTAAACGAGCAAGTTTTTATGAAAATGAGGCATCTGTAGTGTAGTTAGAGAATAATAAAAAAAACTGCGAATAATTTGTTTTGTTTTTTTAAATAGAACATAGCTTAGTTTAATCACTCATCAATCCTCTTGAAATGATTTTAATAAAGACAAATTCTGATTTCCTTTGAAGTAAATTTGGTATAGTTTACTGAGGAGCAATTGTTAATTACTTAAATTAAATATTTAATTAGTTTTCACTACCAATTCAACAAAAAACGTGACAATTAAACCAAAAATTTAATTTCCTACTTTTCTGCAGAAAATTAAGTCCGATTGATAATATCAACTTTCGAATTCTTAAGGTCTACCATCACCTCTTTAAATATTTCTCTCTATTTACAGGACACCCTGTATACATAAGGTTATCCGTATCAAATGAGCTTCGTATGTAAACTGAGGAAGTGGTTGTAAAGTGACCTTTTGGGAATCTTCTTCCTCTTATCCCTGATCCCTGCTTTCCCTAATTTTTCCAGTTTTTAAAGCTTTGTACTCCTCTACGGTCCCTCCAAATTGATTGAAAGAGTTAAAAACTTATGTGAATAGAGTTTATGTGACCAACCTTAGAGAGTTTATGTGATAGAGAGTGTAGAGAGTTCATAAATAGAGTTTATGTGATCAAACCTTATGTGAATAGAGTTGATGAGAGGCGAGTTTCATTTGGAATTTTAATTTTGGAATTCCTTCACCCTCGCCATTTGATACATAAAATTTGGCCATAAACAAAACATAAGAAAAGAATAAAGCAATTGACTTGAACATTCTGCTTGTTAGTCTTACGTAAGCATTAATGCAAAAATGAGAAAAAACATGACCTTTCTGGTCCTGTTGGTGGTACTCTAACCGTTCATTTTATTTATTGTTTAGGTTATAAATAGTTTTTAAAATTTGTTTAAAATGTTTAGGTACTTTAAGCAAATTGTTCAAAATAATCTAATAAAGTTTAGGTAGTCCAAATAATCCATATCATGATATGTTCTCAGGACATACTTGGGCAGCATCATAATCAATGATTACGATTACAGTAATAGTGATTTCATGGTTACATTTACAGTGATTTTGATTATGTGATTATAATTTTAATCAGATTTTCAGTTACAATCGTGATCAGGTTTCCGATTACTATTGTAGTCAGGTAATCATGCCACATTTTTGGTATATTTACAGTGCTATTGAATAAAGTATAAAATTGACATGGTAATAAGTTTTATTTTCAGTTGTAATCAATGATTCTGATTTTGCCCATCTCAGATTTGGGATGATTTTCACCTAGCTCTATACATAAAATACTATTAATGTAGTATTTTGGGTTCTTCAGTATAACTTATCCGCATTGTCAGGTATAAAACAAAAAAAAATTGTTAAAAATCATTTCAGTTTATACTGTATAAATTACAATCTCGAGGCAACTCGAATTCTTAGATCTTTAGCATCAGAAGGTCGAACCGTATAGAATGTGTTGGAGAACATTATTCATCATTAAAATTAACTAAATTAGCCATTTGTTGGCTAAGAATTTGATTAGCGTGGATGGACTTTCAAGCAAACTAAGCTGTTGGCGAATATAACTTGACGTCCCAACTGGTCGAATCCTTGTTCAACAACGCTTTGGCAAACAAGGATTCGACTAGTGAGTACGCATCCTAAGAAGAAGACAACATGGGTTAAAAAGCATCACTTTTGCTCAGCATTCCACAGCTTTAAGATCTCTTCTCCTGAACTTTATTTGTACCACAAACACTGTTTTCAGGCTTCAAGGACTTCATTCAACATTTAATAACCAACAAGTAACAGCAACTTACTATAAACAAATTATTTTACAGAATAAGCATAAACAGTTAACTATAAAATCAACAGTTATTATTGAAAATTAAACAATTAACGTATAATGAAATTTCATATTATAATTATTGAAACCACTAGTATTAATTTATTCATGTTATTTTTTATTAATTGTTTAATAATTTAGATGGGGTATTGATTAATTAGATGATATAAATTATAAAGTCATCAATACCATTTTGTTCTTATTAAATGGTATAAATTATCAAGCAATTTATTTAATTTATTCTCATGTTATTTTATTTAAATATTAAATATATTACATTATTTTAATGCAAGCATTATTTCAGCTTTTCATAAATCCTGATTAATAACTAATTAGTAATTATTACTAACAATATTTTGTTGCAGCTTCATTGCCTGTCCAATAGCTACCATTCTATCATTACTTTTGCATATACCCTGTTCATCCACCTAATTTTTCCTAAAACCAGTTACTTCAGCGATTTCTTTACGTTTGGTATGATACTTGGTAACATGGATTGTAAGGGATGAAAAATAATGTTTACTGTGTTTTAATTATGATATAATAAAAGAGAAACTAATTTTTTTACTTCTATTATACTACATAATCTGAAAAATGCAAGTTTACATTAAGCACATCCAGAATACAGAACAAAAATCAACAGTAGAAGTTTTTATGGGTATATTGGATGGGAAACCCTAAATAATTAAGCACAAAAACAATGTAGTGACCTGATGACTGTTGAGAAACTAAGAAAAAACCTACAAGGATTTCTAGATTTGCCAAATAATACTATATAAAAAGCACTTCCATTCTGAATGTGCAAATTAAAAGCTAAGATCCATACAAATATAAAAAAGAGCTTACCAAAGAATCCAAGAAAAATTTCTTTGTCCAGTTCATCAATCGTAACAGGTTCTTGATTAATGGATTTAGCTCTGAAATAACAAAAACAATAATTTATACTACAACATGATTTAAATATGAAATAGTGTATTCTAAAACTAATCCGTACATATATTATTACAGTAAGGCTCGAAACTGGTTTTGTACCAAATATAAGCTCCTGTCATGCTCAAATACCACGAATGGAGTACCGTTGGATTCAGAATTTCACAGGGGGTTAGCGAAGCGTATTCTCCACTTTTGCTTTTCTTTCTAAAATAAATAAAGTCGATATAAACATTTTGCTAGGCTTCGATACTGGAACGATGGTAGGTCTGTAGATCGATACGGGACAAATAGGATCTTAAAGATTTTGATGCGTACAGCAAAACCCGGATAGTTCCTTCAGAACTATCGGGTCCTGCATTTTTAACCCGAAAAACGTACTATTTTCGAGATAACGCAAAGCATAGGGTTCGCATCCACACAACCTTACATTAATTGTAGTACTGTCATTAATACATGTCTCATTTCGTCGACTTGAGGTCTCTATGATCGGGAGAGGGGGAGTTTATATTATTCATCGATGGTGTTTTTGATCGGCAAGCCATATCATCGTTTATTTTTCACCAAATCTCAAGATTGAGCCACCAATTTTGAAGGCTTCCTTCTCCTTCAGGCTGGCAAAATAGTCCAATCACCCAGAAAATTCAGGCAAACAAGTTATGAAAGAAAATAAACTTTATTTGCGAATAACTGAAAAATTACACACTTTTCCCTTGGTTACGCCCATAATTATATAAAAGATTACTAAATTCCCTACAAAAGGAAAAAAAAATCATCACAATCGGACAATTTTTAGCAAATATACAGCTAACTGAAATTTGTATACATGTTGGTTCCAAACAAAAATGAAGATTTAAATTAATTTTTGTTTGCTTTGTGGATTATATTTATCGATAAAGTAACATTTGATGTCTTAATCTTTGGATAAGTTGCATTTTCTTATTAATTTGGCATTTGATAACAATATGCTGTGCGAATTTTTCGCACGGGTCTACTAGTAGTAAATAAATCAATTTTGAATTTAGATACAAAGCTCAGAGACGACATATGTTATCAAACCTTAAGTAACAATACAATTACCAAAACAAACAATGAGTAGTGGATACTTGTGAATCAATACACCTAATAAATCTTTACAATCACGTCCTACAACTATAATTCCCAACATTACTTTTTCAAATAGTATCGAGCAGAATCAACAATGAATTTATGAAACTAACATTGAAAATAAATATTTTTTTTATAAGCAAATGTTTGGACAAAAATATCGAGGGATACTATGCAAAATCGGTACTTCTCTCTTAGCGGGTAGAGTCGAAACCTTCCTTCTTATCTAATCTCGTTTCAGATAACCATCTCGTTTCAGATAACCTCCCTTATCGACCCAATCTCGTTTCTCAAGTTATTGTGTTGTTTAGTATTATATTGTGTTCTTTTGTTAATATTGTGTTGTTTTGTTTCAACTGGAATTATGGATGTTGTCACATTGTGGGAATTGCCGTCTTCGGAAGAAGAGGCTATCAAATATTTTCAAGACGCCGGTATATTTGATAAGGTGAAATATTGTGATTATTGTGATGGTCGTAAAATGAAGTTCGACGGGAAGATTAAATGGAGATGCTCTCGTAGGTGTAACAAAACCGTTTCTATAAGGAAAGGAACGTGGTTAGAGGGGTCCAGGATTTCTTTTTTGACGGCTTTAAAATTCATTTATGGGTGGTCCCATAATTTAACTACAATTCAGTGGGGGAAAGAGCAGCTCAAACTATCCACCCAAACTGTCGTAGCATGGAACAAATTTTTAAGAGAAGTTTGTGCCCATGACATGTTTTTTAATTATATATTTATGTTTTGGTATATATTTATGTTTTTACGATATATATGTTTTGGTATATATTTATGTTTTTCAATATATTTATGTTTTGGTATATTTTAATATATACCTTGTGAAATAAAAGTATTTTTAAATATACGTTGTGAAATAAAAGCATTTATTATTACATTTCTTTCTGTTTTTGTTCACAATTTCAATAATAACAATACAATACAATCAATATGAATACGAACACATAATAAAATGAATATAATACAATATATACGAATACGAAGAGCTTATCAGTGTTAAGGTTATAAACATTGGCGGATAGCAGTCGGACTCTACCCGCTAAGAGAGAAGTACCGCAAAATCAAACATAAGTACAATAATAAATAACATAAGTATAATAATAAAAATAGTAGATTGCATGTTTGAACCTTCCTCAATTAACAACAAAATACTTACCTAGTAACTGGTAAAGTGTGTTTCCATTCTTGTCCACTTGAATCTTTTGCAACTTCCACATTTTCTTCTGAAAAATTGTAAAATTAATATAACCACAAACAGAAACATGAGTCAAATCATAAAGTAAAAAACTGAATACTTACTTTTAACAGAATTATTTTGATTATCACATAGTATTTTAATTTTTGTTTTCCCAAGCATTTTTGCTTCGTATTTCCTCCCATAGCGAGTATCCATTCTCCTAGTGGGTGATTCAATAACATCATTATCTTCAACAGGACTATTACTTCGTGAAGAAATTTTAGATTTTAAATCACTTCCTGAACTGCTGGAACAAGACTCTGGAGAATTACGTCCTTCTTCAACAGATTCATTTTTATCATTACTATTGGCTTTTACATTTTTTGATTTGAGCACTGATTGAAGTTTTTTAGGTTGCTGAACAAGTAAAGAATTTGAACTTTCTTTTTTTCCTTTGTAAACAATTTTGATTTTTGAACCATCTACTGTGACGTCAGATGCATTTACTTTCTGGTTACCAATACTAATAAATTTATTATTTTCGGAATTATCATTGTTATTAACTCTCAGTAATGATTTCATTGCTTTTGGCCTCCATGAACTAATTTTTTTTTCATCATTGTTAGTCTTTATAACAGGTTTATAAACCGGTATGTTTTTGGGAGCTTCAGGGAAAAGTAAAAATTTTTTCATAACTGTAGATACAACTGGGCTATTGGGTTTTACATCGTACTTTGCAGCAATTTCCTGACGAAATCGAGTCATCAGCTCGGCCTGTAATAACAAATCATAAAGCAATACAGAATCATGTATAATGTAATTCAAAGACATAAAACTTAAAATAAAATAAAATAAAGAACAGTAATATTACAAAAATAACTAGGATAGGTCTAAGGAAAAGACACCATGACAAGACTGAATAACACAGTATTATATTTAAACCATAAATGTAATAGGTAGACTAAGTATAAGTTCAAGATGTGGATGTAATAATAAATCTTTCGAATAAGATATATAATGAAACAACCTAACCTCCAGGAATACATGAAAATAAAAAAATCAAGAACAATAGACACAGCGAATAAAAAATATAATAACCAAGAGGGTTAGACAAACTACCAAGTTAATAAAGCTTATATAAATGTCTAGTAAAACTTCCACCTATAAAGGAAACAAAAACAACAGAATGTTTGTAATATAGATCTTAAATAATCGATGATTATTTCATAAAAGAAGAATTTGTTATTATATATTAAAATACTGAAACAAAAATAATCAAAGAAGAGTCCAATATGAATTATATAAACAATAAAATAAAGCAGTAACCTGCATAAATTCTTAAGGACCAAAACAGGTCTTAACAGCATAATAATAATAATTAAACAATATTGGCCTAATATCTAAAAAGAAAGTTTATCAAAACCATTGAATCTAAATAAAATTAAAGAATATTTATGATCTGATACATCAAAATCTTGTTAAGACATAACCTAGGTTTCTTGAAAATATAACTACAAATAATAAAACTCATGTCCTTCTTAAAGCAGACTACTTTTAGAAAACTTCGATAAACAAATTATCAACTTACCTGAGCTCGGCCCATGTTGATGATCAGAAATTGAATGACATTGAGATGCGTATTTAGTTCATTGTCCTGAAAAATACATTAAATAACTATTAATCAAGTCTGAGTTTATTAAAATCATAATATATACAGTTTAGGATATTTATTTAAGTAAGATTGGATTTACCAAAGGGAAATTCTTCTTGCGGAGGACCAGCATCTGCAAATAAAAACAAAGAAAAAAACATTAGAGATAATTAAATAAGAACGTTATTTTAGAATATATGGTGTGGGAAATACTGTAATTGTAAATTTAAAACTACTTCTTGAAAGTCTAATATGCTATAAACAAACTTAACACATAATGATAAGGAGTAAATATCAATATAAGACTTACATGATGATTTTGAATAGCAATTCTCAACTGATTCTGGACAGCAATAATTTTTTCATGAATAGGCTTCTCTATTTCTACTTCCATCCTTATAAAAATTAAATATTTCTCTGAAACCGTTCTCAATAAACAAAGGTCCAAAAAATGTCCTGACTTTACCTGACAGACGGAAGTTATATCAATGAATAGTTTCCTTCAAATTCATTGAATTCTGTTGTACCGCACTCTTGTGTCACTTTTTGAAAGTTGAATACTAATAACGGTCCTAAAAGAATTTTAAATTCATTTAAATCACAGGGAATTAATAATACCTTATTAGATTAATTTTTAACGCCAACATTAATAATATATTACATGTATAAACAAACTTCGTTTATTTAAAATATAATTACATACATAAATTGTCCCATATATCAATTTCGGTTAGTTATTAGTTTCTAGTATATAGTATTTTAAAGTTTGCTCAATTAAAAAATTAGAATTTTTTCGTACTTAGGTAATGTGAAAGAAATATAAATGATAACTTAATCACTGTAATCAAGATGGTTGCTTCACCTCATGCTGAAGGAAGAGGTTACTCTGTTTGAATACTATGTCTAAGAAAAGGAGTGCTACAACCGAGTTAAATAGTGACAATTGGGACGTTGATGATGAACCAGAAGAGGCAGGGACTTTCAAAGCTGTAGATCCTGATGTTTTGAAGAAAAGAGTCATAAAAGTTGCCAGGAGGAAATTTTCTAAAGCCAATGTACTGTTTTTTATTGTATTTATGTTTGATGTTTAGTTATTTTATGAATAGTTATTACTTTTATTAATCAAAATAATAATTTGTATTTTTAGGGATTAATTATTTTTTTCTCTAACTTTACAGCCAGAGCAGTCAAAATTATTCTCAGGGTTCAGTGGTTTCACTAAGCCAAACACTGCTTCAGATACACCTGATGTGAAAAACACCTTCAGTTTTTTGGCAAACTTGAATGGATCGAGTCAAACCTCTAGTCCCTCAGTTTCTTCAACTATGCCATCACTTCTGTCATCATCTACATTGACAGAGAGTAAACCTGCTTATTCTAAACCATCTAATGAAAACCTTCATGCAACCAAGATTAAAGTTCTGAATGAGTGCTTAGTGGAATGGATTTCAAAATGGGTTTCGAAAAACCCAACATGTGTTTTAACTCCAGTATTTCGTGATTATGAGAAACATTTGGAATCTATTAAATCAAGTATAGACAATAAAAAAGAAGAATCTGAACAAACTGAAAATGTTCCTGAATTAAAATTTAATTTCAGTCCAGTATTTGGAAATAACCAAAAGTCTCCTACTGATTCAAAACCTTCTGAATCTAAATCAGATTCTTTTAAGATGCCAGAATCATCTCCTTCAGCCTTGAAAAATACTGGTGGTTGGTTAAAGACAGGAATTGGATCACTTGGTGAAAATAGTTTTAATTCTAAGACTACACCATTGTTTGGTTTCTCTAGGTAATGTATAACTCAATAATTATAAAGTTTTTTTTATGTATGTGTATGAATACAAAACAATAGAATGAAGTTCTACGTTAATTTTTTAGTAGAATTTCGTGCTGTAGTATTTTTTGTCTTAATATACCTTCATTTATTGCAAAAAGTTGTTAAGTAACATGTTATCATTGTAATGAACTTGGTATGTTTATTATTACTTTCAGTTGAATTTCATTTATACATAATTTAAAAAGAAGTAATTCACACAAAATGTCAAAAGTCTAATAATATATCTGCTAACATTAACTCTCTATTACAACATTTTTTGTGGTAGATATTTTGGATAAAGCTCTGAATTTTCTAAAAGATCCACTTTTACCCACAATCAACAACATTAGTAAATATCATATACAATCGTAGAAAGTGATACTAAACATGTAGATTAGATTCATGTGAAAAACAGATTAAATTAATTATTTAACATAATTAATTATTGTAAATTAATATACTACTCTATGTAAAGTTTTTACTTTAACTTTCTGTAAATAAAGACATATTTCTACTCAAAGTAGAGTGGTGAGCGAAAGTTGTGTGATGTACACATCACACGATATTTTTATGGATTAGCTCTACAGTCTACTTGGAAGAATTTCATATAAATTTGTTTTTGTCTGTACTTTCATTTATATCCTCCATGTAATTCTTCACTCTTTAACAGTTGTAAAAATTTATTTATTTTGCAGTGGCAAACCATCATTTTTACAAAATATTGGAAATCCTGGAAGTAGCGAAAGTTCATCTGCCAACCAAGAAGATGAAGGTGATGATGAGGCTCCTATCGTCAATGATTTTAAGCCTGTAACAGAAGAAAATGCTCTTTATTCACAAAGGTATAGCATTAAGTAACATCCATAGTATATACTATATCATTTTAAAACAAGGGTTGGCAAAACGAGTTTTTTTGTTGAAATGGGATGTCGTTATCCAAGGGCTGATGATTATTTTAAAATAATTGGACAAAATTGTGCTGTTGTAGTAATATAACATATCATCTGATTAAAAAAAAAATTATTTATCGTGATAATTACTGTCACTTTAAAATATTACTGTGTGTACAACATAAACTAATTTAAAACACAATAAAAATAAAACTTAATAATGGTGAAGCTATTATAGTTCATGAAAATAATTATAGAAGAAGTTGGATAGATAAGGAATTCAGAAAACCAAACAGTAATAAGTAATCTTATTTTAATGGCTGCTGAGGTTTCAGCCTATGTTGTAAGTTATGTTCACAAACAAGGCAACCAGTTTGAACTATGATAAAAACATTATAATATAAGGTATAAAAACTTTTCTGTTACGTATTTGTCAATTTATTCATCTATCCAAAGTTTCGATAACTTTTTTTATTTGGACAGATAAATAAATTGACATATATGGAAGAGAAAAGTTTTCGTGCTTTATACCTAAAATAACAAGAAAATGTTCCTTAAATAAATTATAAACATTAATTAATATAAGATGTAATCATTAGAGAGAGAGAGAGAATCACTTTATTATCATAAAATAAAATGGTGCTGCCCAATTACATTGGGTTGCTAACAACACAAGCATACTTATTAATCACTATAGACATTATTTAAAATTATACAATTATATAGGATTAACAATATGTATGAGCATAGTATACAATATTTTATACATATATATATATATTAATTTTTTTTTTTTCCTTTTTTTCTGCTTTTTTTTTTATTTTTACTATTTCTTTCATTCATTTATAATCATTCTGTACCCTTTCTCTTCCTTCTCTCCCCCTATTCATGTTCTCACTCCTCACATTCTCTCCTCTCTCTTTCTAACCTAATATAATATTATAATATAAGAATATATCAAAGATTATAAAAAATAGGATTACGAAAAATGTATTTACGACTAATAAAAAATTAGTTATAAGAACCTATGTATCTAAAAAAATTATATGTGAAAATAAAGAAATTGAATATAACATATTATTATCTAAAAGGATATTTAGTGAAACAGAAAGTAATAATGCTTATCTAAAACATATTTATTATCTTCTCACTTTTGTATATATTACACTGAAGTCATATCCAAGTATGTTGGGGGCGGGGTGACCGAATAGAACACCGCTAGTTGCCTGGCAACCGGATAACAGAGATTTGAGATGATATAAAAAGTACGAGTTCGCGTCCCGGTGCTGGAGGGGATTTTAAATTCCCCGCCCTCACCCCCTGGCCCGGGAAAATCCTGTATAGCCTAAAAGGCGAGGTAGGGAAGAACAAAAAAAAAAAAAAAAAAAATATCCAAGTATGTTCCACTGTTCATTTTATGAATGATTTTTATTAATATTTAATTTTCAAAATAAAAATGTTGGTCAGATAAATATACATTTAACATATTCAACAAAAATTTTTATTAATTGATATTCAGTAGTTATAAGTATTTATCTAAATATTTCTAATAGAAATTTTTTTTCAGAGTCAAAGTTTTCGTTAAAAACAATGAATCTTATTCAGATCGAGGTGTTGGAAATCTGTTCATTAAAGAAACTAAAAATGACAAAGGAGATAATATTTATCAAGCGATTGTTCGTGCTGATACTGCCTTAGGAAATATAATATTCAATATTCGTATTACAAAAGATATACCGACCAAACGAGTTGGAAAAAATAATGTCATGCTTGTCTGTGTACCCACACCAGATTCCAAACCGCCTCCAGTAGCTGTGCTATTGCGAGTGAAGACAGAAGATGATGCAGATAAACTTCTTGCTGAGATTAATAAATATAAATAAATTCCAGAAATATAGACTTCTTGGATTACAAGTCAAATATTTATCATAATTCTTAATACCTATTTAGACTCAACATTCCATGAAGTTAATTACTTCTGTTTTATCATATTTATAATTTTGAAAACATGCTTAACAGTTACAGTTAATTTCTAAAAACATTTTTTTTATATATGCAAATTACAGACGTTTTAAAAAGTAAAATTTTAATAGTATTTTAATTGAAAAAATTGAACTGATAGTTTATTTTTTAATTATAATTTATTTATCATTACAAATTATAGTTATTTAATGGTATTGTTTATTGTTTCACTTGTTTTTTAATTGTTTGTTTTTAAAGAAAATATGATTGATAATGTGCTACCTTTTTAAAGGTACAAATATAAAATTAAATAGAACTGAGAATGGCTCAACTGTAACTAAAGTTTCTGGATTATCATTTGCCCTCTCTTATAAGTGAAAAATATAAATTAATTTTGTTTAAACTTGATAGTTATAATTATAATGTACTACTCGTGTTCATTCTATAATATACCTTGTATAAAATGAATTTATTATTTAATTTTTGCCAAATTTTTTATAATAAATTTGTTTAAAGTATTTTTTGTATCAGTTCCCTATGTTCCTCCTTAAAATTATCATTTTTAAAATTTGTGTATATCCTCTTATTATAATTTACTAGTAGGCCTGTGTGAAAAATTTGCACAGCATATTGTTATCAAATGCCAAATTAATAAGAAAATAAAATAATGCAACGTATCAAAAGAAAAAGAAGTCAAATGTAATTTTATCGATAAATATAATTGACAAAGAAAAGAAAAATTAATTTAAATCTTCATTTTTGTTTGGAACCAACATGTTTACAAATTTCAGTAAGCTGTATCTTTGCTAAAAATTGTCCAATTTCAATGATTTTTTTTTTCATTTTGTAGGAAGTTTAGTAATCTATATAATTATGGGCATAACAAAGAGAAAAGTGTGTTAGTTTTAGTTATTCGTAAATTAAGTTTGTTTTCTTTCATAACTTGTTTGCTTGAATTTCCAGGGCGATAGGACTATTTTGCCGCCTGGAGGAGAAGGAAGCCTTCGAAATTGGTGGCTCAATCTTGAGATTTGGTGAAAAATTAACGGTGATACGGCTTGCCGATCAAAAACATCATCCATAAATAATATAAACTGCTCTCTAGATCATAGAGACCTCAAGTCGACGAAATGAGACATGTATTCAATGACAGTACTGCAATACAAAGGTTGTGTGGATGCGAACCCTATGCCTTGTGTATCTCGAAAATAGTACGTTTTTGGGCTTAAAAACACAGGATCCTATAGTTCTGGAGGAACTATCCGTGTCTTGCTGTACGCAACAAAATCTTCAAGATCCAATTTGTCCCGTATCGATCTACAGACCTACCATCGTTCCAGTACTGAAGCCTAGCAAAATGTTTGTATCGACTTTATTTATTTTATTAAGAAAAACAAAAGTGGAGAATACGATTCGCTAACCCCCAGTGAAATTCTGAATCCAACGCTACTCCATTCATGGTATTTGAGCATGACAGCTTATATTTGATACAAAACCGATTTCGAGCCTTACTGTAATATATGTGGGGATGGGGATGGGGATGTAATGATAGGGTTGGGGATAGCCACGGGCGGATTTAGGGGGAGGGCATTTCCGGCTGAAGCTCCCCCCCCCCTCCAAAATGGTAAAATATAACCATGTTTTGTGGAAAAATATATTAAAAAATTATCTCTTAAAGTCTTATTGTTCGTGTAATTACATTTAAAAGGACTTAAGGAATCACTTAAACACCATTTCATATAGATAGTTAGTTTCTTTCTTTTTTTCCAAAGTAATTATCGTCATTTTCATGAAAAAAAAAAAACTTTCGGGCTGAAGCTCCCCTCCCCCAAAAATTAAATCCTGGATCCACTAGTGGGGATAGCAATGTTCTGTTGACAGCGTTCCCATAGAAACGCGGTTAGACTTTGTATTTCATTTTTCCCTCTGCTATGCATTATATGAATCATAACTCCTCAGGATTTTCTCCTAATTCAATATATCTATGATCGTTGGAAAGCTGAGTTATTACTCTTCAACAACATATCAATACTTTAATATGGTTTATTTTAAATAATCAACTATCTCTCATAAAAAATGCTAAATGTAACTTTTAAAAGAATTTGACAATCGAATAAAGGATAAAAAAATAAAAATGCTTATACCGGTCAAAAATGAATCTTCGGAAATACAAGTCAGAAGGTATAAGTGTAATATATCATTGGAAAGCAGAAAATTTTAGAAAAAATAATATATAATAAATAAAGTTGTAGAAGGTAACGGAGAGTGAAGAAAAACATATAAATAATAAATTCTGAAAACCAACATTATTTAACGTAAATCACGTGTTTCCAAGGAAATTAAATGAAATTTTCTTACCAAATGTAAACTTTTAAATATTTGATTGAAAAAAAAAAATTAAATGCACTAAATCAAGTCAATGCTATTGTTTAAAATACTACTTCGTAGTACTTATGTGAAAGAAGAAGTGAAATATAAAAATATTTCGTGGATATGTTTGTAACCTCAAATATATTTACTATAGAGTATTAACTCTAGATAGATAGATAGAAAAATAACTTTATTCTGGGACACAGTCCCTTGAGAATAACAAAATTAAAATATTACATCTGGCCAAATAAAATCAATCGAAAAAAAGAAAAGAAATAATGTAAAAAAAATATAAGGTAAAAAATCTATATACAAAACAAACTAAACTATATACAAAACCATTAATACTATGACAAGACACTTAAAGCTATTTGCTCTTATAGACCAGTATACACTTTTCCAAAAAAAATAAGGAATTAAAAAATAAAAATGTATCAAATTCTCTATTAAAATCCGCTCGAATGGTTAGCAAGTATCTGACTGTTTTTGTGATAGGAATTGGAATAGGAGGGATTTGAATGTGGATATGGAGGGGGAATGTCGAATTTTGATAGGGAGGGAATTCCAGAAATTGACAGAGCGAACAATAAAGGAATTTTGGAATGAGGCAGATCTGTGAGAAGGCATGTAAAGGTCAGAAGGTCGAGATCTTGTGGACAGGGAATGGACTGAGGATTTGAACTGGAGAAGGTTGTAGGCGTAAGAAGTACGATGGTTGTTGATGATTTGGTGATCATGAGCTTGGAAAAATTCAAAACTTGAGGACTATACATACATACTACTATAAATGGATTCTCAAAATTTCTAGTATAAATAAACTAGTGCCACCTTTTTTTTTTTTTTTTTTTTTTTTTTTAATTTGGGAGAAAAACATTGGAATAACTGCAAGGTGGTTATGAATCAGGAATTTAGAATTCACAGTAAATTCTTCAATATTGACTTTTACTATCATTATTACTTTCACTTCCGTATATATGTAATATATAGTAAGGGTAAGTATTGCGATCGTGAACATTTTTGATTCTGAGTTTTCAACGTTTTGGGGTACCCTGAGTCCAAATAACCAAATCTCGAAAAATGGTCTGTGTGTGTGTATGTTAGCAGTCTAGCTCAAATATGAAATGTCGTGCGAAACTGATATGACGTATTTAAGATAGGTTTATGTCTTAGGAACAGGCGGATTTACGAGGGGGGGGACTTTCGGACTGAAGCCCCCCTCAAAATGGTAAAATGTAATCATGTTTTATGGTAAAAAATATTAAAAAATTAAGTCTTAAAGTATTATTGCTCGTTTAATTACATTTACTATGACTTCAAGAATCACTTAAACACCATTCCATGTAGGTAGTTAGAATCTTTCTGTTTTTCCAATGAAAGTATCGATGTATATATATATGAAAAAAAAAAATCTTTCGGGCTGAAGCCCCCCCCCAAAATTAAATCTTAGATCCGCTAGTGGTCTTAGGCAGAAACTTTTTCCTTAAAATTGGCTAACCGGAAGTGCCACTTTATATCACCGCTGAAACACATTTTTACAATTATCTCAAAAACGGCTCTAACGATTTTGATTAAACTCGGTGTATCATTGGATAATTAAGTGTCTTTAATGTCAATCAGTTCTTATTAATATATTATTGATATTGATATTGAATTATTGATATTAATATTGATATTAATTCAATATCAATCAGGTCATTGATGTCACTTTACAAGGCTTAATGCCCAATGTCCATAAACGTCTTCCTTAAAAGTACCTTTAATATGGTTTATTTTAAAAAGTTAATCATCTCACATTATTCAGATTTACGAAAAAATGCTAAATATAACTTTTGAAAGAATTTGGTATTTGAATAAAGGAGAAAAAAATAAAAATGCTTATCCAGACCGAAAATGAATCGCCGGAAGTACTATTCATATTTAACGTAAATCACATGTTTTCAAGGAAATTAAATAAAATTTACTTACTGAATGTAAACTTTTAAAATATTTTATAAGTTTGAAAAAAGTATTTAAAATCCACCTAATCAAGGCAATGACATTGTTAAAAAAACTATTACATTGTACTTGTGTGAAATATGAAGTAAAATGTAAAATCAGTTCATGGATGTATGTTTATAACCTTAAATACATTTACTGTAGTTTAATAATTCTCTATCTGATATTATATTTAAATAATTAGGTATCAACGTCCGTTTATTCCGAAATATTGCCATACAATCTTCAAGAAAATTAAATTACTGAATAATTTGATGAATCTTTCCTTTATGATATTCCATCATTGTCCACTACTATTTCATTGTACTTGTGTAAAAGAAGAAGGTATGTTTATAACCTTAAATATATATAATATAGTTTAATAACTCTATTATATTTAATGTTTTATATTATATTTAAGTTATTATATTTAAATGTTTAATTATCTATCATATATATCATAAAAATCATGTAACCTTACAGAAAATTAAAGTAGTGAATAGTTTGACGAAATTTATTTTTGTGATATTCCAACTTACAATTAGTGTGACAACTTTTGACCTGTCTATGACAGACT